TTATTTTCATCAGAGAAAGGGATCAGATCGTTTTAAGATTTTCTTTCTACAAGCCCTAAAGCAGGCTTTTTTCTTTACTTCCACCTCTATTCCTCTCGACCCCAACCCTCAGTTGTTTGTTTCTTATTATTTTCCCAACTCCTTCCTGCAAGAGGCACTCAGCTCATCTCCGTGCAAAACATAGGCAAACTGAGGTCGCCAACATAGTTTGTGAAAGAAGAGAAATCTGCTCATTCATGCAAGATAATTATTTCTTTTGCTTTCCTCTCTCAACTTTGAGTGATAACTCCAATGAGGGCGAAAGCTCTGCTTCTTCAGGAAGTGACTCTATTTTAGAATGTCATTTTACATCGTGAAGTTCTATACCACAGAATCTTGATAAAGTACTTGGAGAAACTCTTTGTAGAGTAACAATTTTAGCAGAGGTAAATTCACATTAAGTTTTCTGCAACAATTAGAGCAATATGATTGGCAGGCCTAGGATGATATGATGTCTATTTTATGCACTGCAGCTTGGATAAAAATGGTTGGATATGCAATAAGGAGAAGTAGGGGTTATGCTGTGGAAACTTACTTCACCAATTTGAATATTTATCTTATTGTAGGCGTCCTAGGAGATTTCAAGTTTAACTCAACATATGGTCTGTAAATTTTAAATTAAATTTATTTTATAAATTTGACACAATAGGAGTTAAGCTCAAATGAAGGATATAAGCATATGGTGGATTTTCCACTAATTGAGAGCCTTACACCATGAGAAGTAAGTAGAAGAGGGGTTTAGTAGCTTTAGTTTCATTTCTATGACTATATATAACTGAACAGATTACTTTTATTGTTTGTTAGTTGTTATTCTAAAGCATAGGTGGAAAAGATTTTTTAATAAAGCACATTCAAGGAAATAACTGTTCCACTAAAACAATTTAGATTCTTATATATGTATATATTTTCATATATAATTATATGCATATATGCACTCATGTATTCATAACCACGTATATTTCTGCTCATCCAACAGTTATTCCTCTTTTTTACTGCTTTATTGAAGTACAATTGACAAATAACATTTTAAGATATTTAAGGTGTACAATGTGACGATTCGACATACGTATACATTGTGAGCTATCCCCCTTTAATAAGACAGTACATGTCCAAACGATAGATATCTCTAATCTCAGGACATCTTTGGAGAGAGGGATTTTTCAACCTCCCACACACCTCCCACTAACTCTCTAATCCTCTCTAACCTAGCTCCTGCTCCCATCACTCCACAAAAATCACCCAGAATAAATTCACCACGGATCTGAATCCCCTAAATGCGCAAATGTTTTTAGTCTTCGTATCCTTCCCAGTATCTGAATCAGTTGACAACTCTTTGTAAGAAGAAGAGTTTTCTTCTTGAAACATTTTTCCTTAGCTTCCTTGACACTGTACTCTCATGATTAACTGGTTCCTCTTTCCCTTTACTTATTCTTTTTCCTTGCTTATATTTAAACAAAGAACACACTTTTCAGACCTGATTCTAACTCATCAGTATGATGAATGTATTTTCCTCTTGTCTTCCCCCTTTCTACTGAACTCTCCTCAGAAATGTAGACATAGGCATTAAGCTGAATGGTTTATTTGTTGTAAACTAAACATCGAGTAGAATGGTTTAAGGCCATGAGCTTTCCAAACAGCACAAAAATCTTTATTTCTGCTTGGTGAAGTGAAGGAGCCAGGATATGTTAAGTATTCTGCCAGCTTTGTCTTAGCCCCTCTTCACTTTTGGCCACATCCAGGCTCCTTCCTGATTTTGCTAATACAGCAAGGCCCCTGTATCAAGAAGTAGCTCTGGACAAAACCTACCAGCTTCCTCAACACCACCACACAAAATATAGACCTCCAAAAAAGCTGTTTCTGCATACTGAGAGTCCAAAAGATTCATTCCCTTTGTGCCTGGGCCATTTCCCTGAGTTTTCCTTCCAAATCATGGGGCTGTGTAGAATTCTACTGAGAAAAGTGGTAACTATGGAGTTACACAAATTTTCTTTTCTCCCCTCATTTTCCATGATCCCTCACTGGTGCTTGTGAGAGGAGAGTGAATCTTCTCTCAATATTTTCTCTGCTACCATTTTCGTTTCTAGCCTAAAGATTTTGGAGTGTGAGACAAACTTTTCTTCTGTTTCCATGGCTGAAATGGGATTTTTCTTGTTTTCTGTGAAGATTACTTTGGTATTTCAACAAAGATCTGGGGGTAAGAGAGCTGGATACCTCTCTTCAAGCAGCTGCTATTTTGGAAATAATACCACACACTAAGATTTTTTTTTTTTTTGGATATATAACTTTTGCCAATTTTTTCAGTCTACATGCAGAAGGAAATTAAGGGTCTCTACAATCAACTGTATGACTCTTTATCATCAGTTCTTAAATGTAATTTGCAGGTTTTCTCTTATACATAAGTATAATCCAGGATGAAACATCTCCCCTCAAATGTTTCGGAAAATGTTTTGAGATCCACAGGGGAAGGAAGCTCTAGGATTCCCACATGAAAAAAATTGTAATATTCATTGGGGTCTCAATAGAGCATGCATTTTGTAAACAAAGAGAAACAGAAAATATACATTTTAAAATACACATTTTAAAAACAATGAGAGTTACCAGAAAAAAGATAAAGTGTATATGTTAAGTATATATATATATATATATACACACACACATATATAAAGGAGAGTCACAGTATTGTTATAGAGATTTTTTTTTTATTTTAGAAGAAGTGAAATAAAATTATTTTTATGGGGGTGCTGATATCCCTCATAACTGCCTGATCTGGAGGTTTTAGAAAAATATGGTTTGATAAGCTGAATCATCTATTCCTATTTCTGAAGATACATTGTAGTTCTAAAGTTTATTATACAGAAGGAAAAAAAATGGCTCTCAGGGAAAGAGAAATAGCACATTTTTATAAGAGAAAATAAAATCACTTTGTTTGGAAACTGGTATTTCCATTCTAGGAAACTTTAATCCAACTGGCTGTGTGTGTGAAATAATGAGCCCAGGAGTCAACAGACTTTTTTTTTTTTCCAATAGCAAAGGTCACAAGCCTTTGGTTGTACACACTGGAGCTGTTCAAACTTGCAGGGTACATGAGCTTCATTTGAAAAGCCTTTCTGTGTGATGGCTACTGTGTCTCCATTAGTCAGAGTATAGCTTATTTCAAGGGTGAGGGTGGCATGTTCAAATGCTGAATTTAGACAAGAATCTTAAGAAATATAATTTTGTTAGTAATTGCAAAATGACATTTAGTCATTTCAAGTAACATCTTAGTATGGTTCCACTTCAAGGGAATAGTCATTTTAGACATTGGTTAAATACATTTTTTTTCCCCAAATGCTGGGAAAACTAGGTAAATTATGCATTTATATAGCCATTAAAATATTGTGATGGTTAATTTTGTGTGTCAGTGTGACTGGGTCACAGGGTGCACAGATTAAAGGTTTTTTCTGAGTGTGTCTGTGAGGGTATTTCTGGGTGAGATTAACATTTGAACAGGTGAATTCAGGAACATCTCTCCAATGTGGATGGGCATGATGCCTTCCTGCCTGCCTGCTTGAAATGGGACATTAGTCTTCTGCTCTTTGACGTGGATTAATACTCTTGGTTCCCATAGTCCTCAGGTCTTTGGACTTGGACTAGTATTATACCACTGGCTTTCTTGGGCCTCCAGTTTCCAGACACCAGATTATGGGAATTCTCAGCCTCCACGAAAACAATACTCCATTCCTGGGGCCATTGCAGAGATGAGTGCCACTGTCAAGGACTTGAAAGATGTAGGGGTGAGGATTCCCACCCATCCTCACTCAGCTCTCCTGAGTACAGCCTGTGTAGAAGACAGACGGATCTTGGAGATTGGCACTGGATTATTGTAAATTAAACCAGGTGGAAACTCAAATTGCAGCTTCTGTACCAGACGTGGTTTAATTGCTTAAGCAAATTAACACATCCCCTGGTACCTAGTATGAAGTTATCGATCTGACAAATGCCTTTTTCTCTACCTTGTCTGTAAGGTTCACCAAAAACAGCTTGTTTTTAGCTGGCAACCAGCAATACACCTTCACTGTCTTACCTCAAGCTTAGGTCAAGCATAACCCTATGTCATTATTTAGTTCACAGAGATTTTGATCACCTTTGTCTCCACAAGATGTCACACTGGTCCATTACATTGATGACATGCCGATTGAACCTAGTGAGCAATAGGTAGCAACTACTTTAGATGGAACAGTGACACATTTGCATATCAAAGGGTGAGAAATAAATCCAACAGAAGTTCAAGGAACTCTTGCCTCAGTGAAATTTTCAGGAGCCCTGTGCTTTGGGTGATGTTGAGATATCTCTTCTAAAATGAAGGATAAGTTGTTGCACCTGGTCCCTGCTACAACCAAAAAGGAAACACAATGCCTAGTGGAGCTCTTTGCATTTTGGAGGCAACATATTCCTCATCTGGGTGTGTTACTCTGGCCCATTTACCAAAGGACATTAAAATCTGCTAGTTTTCAGTGGAGCCCAGAAAAAGACAAGGCTCTGCAACAGAACAAGATTTTCGTTCTGTAGCTTGAACCAAAGGATCCGGCAGATCTATGGTGCATTAAGAATTGGTGGCAGACAGTGATGCTGTTGAAGCCTTTGGCAGGCCCTTTTAAGTGCATTGCAATTTAGGATTTTGAAGCAATGCCTTGTCATCCTCAGCAAACAACTATTCTCCTTTTGAGGAACAGTTTTTGCCTGCTACTGGGCCTCGGTCGAGACTGAATGCTTAACCATGAGCCACCAAGTTACCATGAGAACTCACTTCACCACACAATATATGCTGCCACGTGGCTCATGGAATTCACTGGTTTCACCATGTTCCCCACCACCCTGAAGCAGCAACATTTCTTTTTTTTCCCTATGAATTTATGTTCTGCTGGCCCAGAATCTTAGAGGGAGGAATGCTTCTACCAAGAGACACAAAAATAATTCTGTTTAACTACAAGTTAAGACTGCCGCTCAGGCAGTTTGGATTTCTCATGCCTCTGAATCAGCAGGCAAAGAAGAAAGTTGCAGTACTGGCTGGGGTGAATGATTCTGAATACCAAGGGAAATTGGACTACTCCCCAGTGGAGGTAAAGGGAGAGAATGTTCAGAATACAAGAGATTCCTTAGGGATCTCTTAGTATTACCATGCCCTGCAATTAAGGTCAATGGAAAAGAACAACAACTCAATCCAGACACTACTACTAAAGGCACAGATTCTTCAGGAATGAAAGTTTGGGTCACCATACCAGGTAAAGAACCAAGACTTGCCGAGGTGCTTCTGAAGTCAATGGGAATGCAGAGTGAGTAGTGCAAGAAGGTGGTCGTCAATACCACCTGTGAGCATGTGACCACCAAAGATTAGATATATTTGTTTTCCTTGTCTCTTATTCCTTTATTATGTAACATGGGATACATAAGATGTATTGACTTCATATCATTGCATTAATTACTGTTAATTTTAATTTGCACTATTTAAATTAAGGGATATCAAATGGAAGAGTAAATATCACTCAAGGACTTTACCTTCTCTTCTGGGAAGGGATTATTGTACTTTTGGTTTATGCTGGATAGTTGTAACATGTTAGGCAGAATTATGACCTTGTTATTTTATTTATTTGGAGAAAAATATGGTTTAAGGAGATTCATATGAGTTCCAAGTTGACAAGGGGTTGACTTGTGAGAGTTAATTTTATTTGTCTATGTAACTAGGCCACAGTGTATCCAGATTAAACATTTCTGGGTGTGTCTGTGAGGGTATTTCCAGATGAGATTATCATTTGAATTGGTGGACTCCTAAAGTAAATTACCCTTCCCCATGTAGTGGGCATTATCCAATCCACTGAGGGCCTGAACAGGACAAAAAGTGGAGGATGGGAGGATTTACTCCCTCCCTGCCTGCCTACATGCTTGATTGAGCTAGGACATCAGCTTTCTCCTATCCTTGGACTGGACTGTTAGATTTGTTTCTCTGAAGAACCCTGATTAATACAAATATGCAAGAATATTATACTTTCAGTGCTAGCAAGATAATATAATTAAGTAAAAAAACTTTAAATATTACTGTGGTGCAATTCAAGGAAACTAAATAAAATCTCCTGCTTACAGTTATGTACCTGCCAAGCCCCTGCCTCCACCATCACCACTGACTTGCATGTTATCTCAAATTTAACAATTTCAGATCTTTTTCTTTGAATCTGTAGGTACATCTCTAGTATGGTTATTAAAATACAAATGTAGCAATCTGTGATACTTCTCTTATTAATTATCACCTTGGGAGTAATTAGAAAGGGCAGCAACTTCAGAGCAACTTAGAGATATGGGAGCAGAGGGGTTTGACAAAAATGCTGAATATGTGGACTGCAAACTTTGTCTCTATCAACATTTTACTGGAGAACTGACTCTAATTGTTAAAGCCTGCAAAGGCCATGTCACAAAATGATGAAGAGTGTCATTTCTAGAACCAAATTACCAAGGTTTGAAACTGGGCTAAAACAGTTTCTAGTTGTGTGAATTTGGCTATGTTATTTAGCATTTTTCTTACCGTGTCCTCATTTGTAAAATGTGGATGATACCTTACAGGGTTATTTTAAATATTAAATATATTAATAAGCAAGAATATATAACAGTGTGCAGCATATTTTAATTAAGAAGTGCTACCAAGTTTCAAAAAGTAGTGAATACAGTGGATATTTAATAATATGTATATGGCTTTAAGTTATATATTGCTTAGACTGAAGTCTGCCAAGAACATAAAACCTTTACATATATATTTATTTATTTGTAGTAGTACTTTATGCAAATGCATCCTTAGCAATATTTTTTCTGGCTAGTTTCACCTATGTTTATGTATAAATTTGAAACTTCTATGTACATAAAAAAATATGAATACTTACCAAATTGTGTTTAAGTGTGCCATTTTAAGATCTCACTATGATTTGAACTACACAGACTTGTATAAACATGGGCATATGTTCCCATCCTTTTGTGACATATTAAACATTTTTAATTTAAATTTAACAGTTTTCAATTAATTTAGCTCTTATATTTTCTTGAAGCTTTCATCTACTTAGAGATAAAACATGTACTCTACATATGTTTAATTATTTCAAATTCCAAGAAACACATAAATTTTATGACACCATAAAATGTACTTTTAATAGTTTTTATTATTTAATTATATAGTTCTGTATAACTGAGAAGAAATAAAACCAAAAAGTATAAAATAATTTTCTATTACTTCTCAACCATGAAACCATGTAGGTTTTAATTTTTCCTCTTCTTCATCCAAATGTCAAATCATAATTTAATAATAAAATTGTGATCTGCAATTACTGCAAGGCATTTCTGAGATTGGTGGTGGTATGTAGAGTATAACATTAATATTTTTTTATGAAGTTGCTATTCTATGTTGGTTACTGAGGTTTCTGGCTACTTTTTGTGTTTATAACAAAACTTTCTCTTCAATGAAATACCATAAGTAATTGTAATGGATACTTTATCATGTTCATTTATTTCATATTGGTTTGCTGAGGTTACTATGTTTATACTGTGTTTTATGCTTTGAGTACTTTTACCATACCTACTTTACCATATTGTTGTACTTATACATGCATTCCATATTTATCCCAGTTATTTTATGTATTCCATGACCAAATTTTCATATAAACTCACCTCAGAGTAAGAGTTTTTTTCTTTCTATAATCAGTATCTCTATATCTACTATGTAAGCCTCTGTTTTCCAAGGTCTTAAGCTAAGGTCGTCGGCTTAGGAAGTGGGGCCATATTGGGGTAGAGCCAAATGACTTGTGGCCAGTTAATCACTTAATCCTCACAACTAAGAAGCTATGAGGAAGACTAGCTAGGCACAAATTTTCCTATTTAGGATATAAGAAAATGGACACAAAGCAGTTTAATGATTTTTATATTTCATTCAGGACCCATGTGGATAATCCAGAATAAGCTTCTCTTTTCAATAACCTTAACTTAATCTCATCTTTGCCATGTACAATAATATTCACAAGTCCCAGGTTAGGATGTAGACATCTCTTTTTGAGGGCCATCATTTAGCCCACTACATAGGGTGACCCAATCAATCAGAAGAGATGTTACATAGGGGGAGAAAATCCAGTAATATGTTGTCTGTAAGAAATTCACTAAACAAAAAAGGATACAAAGCCCCCAAATAATTCAATATAGAAATTTTACTATCAAATGATATATAATTTAAGCTAAAAGTATCATGAGCAGTAATACTTTAAATACATATAAACAGAAAATAGATTCAGAAGTTACAACAATTTTAAATTGTTAATATATAACCCCCAGTTTTATAAATACACAACTAAAAAGTTGGAGAGGGAAAAGAACAAATAAACTATTACAGTTTTAAATTTACCTCTCAGAAAGAAATATGCCAATCACATAATAAAAGGAAATCTGTATATGAAATTATAATAATGTGATTAATATGCTTGAAACCAAAAAAACAAGACTAAAGAAGAGACTTTCTTAACTTGACCTAGTGTGTATATTAAAAGTTAATAACAAAGATGATTTTCTTTTTGTTTTTCCTTTTGTGGTAAGAGCATTTAACATAAAATCTACCCCTGTGACAAATTATTAATTATATACAACATAGTACTATTAATCATATTTTATAGTAGATCTCCAGAACTTATTTTTCTTGTGTAACTGAAATGTTGTATCCTTTGATTGACATCTCATCATTTTCCCCCTGCCCAGAACTTGGTAACTAGTTTCTAGTTGTGTGAATTATACTCTCTGCTTCTATGTGTTTGACACAAACATGATTCTTAATAGAAAATTGTTAGAAATATTTCTTTTTTTTTAAAGATTTTATTTATTTATCTGAGACAGAGAGAATGAGAGAGAGAGAGCACATGAGAGGGGGGAGGGTCAGAGGGAGAAGCAGACCCCCTGCCGAGCAGGGAGCCCGATGCGGGACTCGATCCAGGGACTCCAGGATCATGACCTGAGCTGAAGGCAGCCGCTTAACCAACTGAGCCACCCAGGCGCCCTAGAAATATTTCTTGTGGGACCTGAAACAAGATAAGAATTCTCACTATTGCCACTACTAATAAATAAAGGATTAAAATCTATAGCCAGCAAAATTATTTTTTTGAAATAAGATGTAACAGTTATAAGGATTGGTATAGAAAAGTCAAAATGTTATTTGTAGATGATATGATTATAAAATAAGATACAACAGTTATAAGGCTTGGTATAGAAAAGTGACAATGTTATTTGCAGATGATATGATTATCTATATAGAAAACTCAACAGGATCAAGAGACATTTATAGAGCTATGAGAAAATTTAGCAAATATCCTATTGTGCAAGACCAATTATGGAGCCATCTGTGTTTTTCTATACCATCAATAGTCAATTAAAATATAATAGAAAATGAGATATTATTCATAACATCAGAAAAAGAGATGATACAGATGGATAACTTTTCTTATCAAATACTATGGCAAAATGACAATGACATGCTTTAAGCAAAATGGTGAAATTGATTGGTGTAGGGCCTTATAAATAATATGAGTATAGTGGGCTGAATGGTGACTCTTCAAAATACATGTCATGACCTACTTTTTGGACCTATAATTATCACCTTATATGGTAAAATGGTGGCTATTCTTTTATATGGCAAAAAATGTGTTTAAGGATCTTGAAAGGTGGAGGTTATCTGGATTATCAAGGTGGGCCCTAAATGCCATCACAAGTGAGAGAAAGACAGAGGGAGATTTTACACACAGATACATAGAGAAGAAAGTGATGTAAAGGTGGATCAGAAAGAGATGTGGTCATGAGTCAAGGAAAGATAGATGTGGCCATGAACCAAGGAAAGACAATAACAACAATAAGTTAGAAGAGGAAGGAATGGGTAACCCCCAGAGCCTCTGAAAGGACTGTGGCCCTCTTGACACCCTGATACCTTTCATGTTACCCCGAGAAATAACTTGTGAGGTGAGCCCCAGCATCTTTGAAGAGCTTTGGTTATCTCTTTTCTGTAGGCCAGAAATTACAGTGTAGAACTGCTGCTAGTGAACAGTGATCCTTCTATGAAATGGGGATAACTGATGTCATGGTGTCAGAGAACAGGGGCCAGAACTCAATCACCAAAGACAAGGTGGATCTGGTTACCAAAATGGATCGCAAAGTCAAAGCGGTAACCAGAAGTGTTGAGAAAGAGATAGGGAGTCTATGAAATTGTTGATTAATGAAATGTAATGGAAGAGTTCTATATTGAGTAACTTGAATCACCAAAACAGAACCA